TGACACGGGCAAGTGTGAATCCAGCCTGGGGCCACAATTTCGTCCCTCAGCGACGTTTCCATCTGGGTGGCAGGGACCGGCAGCGACGATTGGGTAGACAAGGGTGGAAAAATAGAAAAGGGAACGAGCTACCACCAGTCCCGGAACGTGGCCGTCTCTTTCGCGCGGATATTACGTAACCGTGTCGCTTTCGCGGAAAAGAGAAGAAAAAATGAAAGAAGAAGAGAGAGAGAGGGGACACGAAGGGCGGTTTCGATCGCGCCAACGATCTACCCGAAGCTGTTGCCTCCACTGGAGGGCACCAGTCTAAGCGGCCTGCTCCATTTTCAACGATCAATCCGCGGGCCACGCTGAACAGAGACGTTTCGACGTTTTATCGCGAGAATTAATCGACGTCGTTAAAAGCCGGCGTTCACGCTGCAATGTTCGACTCCGCGCCACCGTGCAACCTGTTAGTCATTATTCCACGCCCGTTGCGCCGAGTCACGTCCTTTAAGCTCGCGGTAATTGACTTTGGATAATGGTTAATGGCGATTCCTGGCCTGGCCTGGCCTCGGCATCTTTTCCGTCCTACCTGCGCGATTTCGTGGGCTAGACCATGTCAAACACGGTGGGAAGAAGATCATCAGGAGTGAACATTGAAACAGAAGCTTGAAGTGAGGGGCTATTTGGGTGCTTGAGATTTGAAGGGTTTGTGATTTGGAACTGCGATTCTTGACAATTCTTTCTTGTACCATCTCAAGAGCATGTGTCTAGTTTGAAATTTGGTGGAATAGTTGAATACTATTCAATCCTTCCATTGCAACCTGACTACTTCTTCTAGAGTCTCTCTATGATCTAGAGCAAGAGCGTTTACTATATACAAAGAGATCAAATTTCAAGAGAAAGATCAGTCTACGTTACAGGTGCCATTCTCATCTTAACCCAGCCTGGCATCCAACACCTGATCCCCAGAAGGATTCAACAAATTTCAAGAGAAGCAACTAGGAGTCACCATCCATCTTGAGCAATCTTCCCATCCCTTACAACGTCACAAAACTACAGTTTTCATTAAATGTATACTATTAAATATCAATTTTGTATTAAAATCTAAGACACCACTGACAGTGCACTCATCTGATTTGTAAATTACAATTTTTTCTTATCGTAACTTAGGATTATTTCTAAATATATCCAATTTAAAAGGAAAAGGAATTTTATCAGAACCCAAATTAATGTCTTTTGCTACGTAAAAGATGTCAAACGTTAAAAGAAAGATCAGTCTATGTTATAAACTACACCCACTATACCCCTAACTCAGGCTAACATTCACCACCTGATCCTCAAAGGAATACACCAAATTCCAAGAGTAATAATCATCGAGCAATCCTCCCCTCCCTGGAAAACGCGATATTTCGGAAAATAAAATGCAACGTACGTCCATATCCAGGTGGAAACTATCAGCAGGTCGCAGCAGACCTGGAGGAAACTGGCTGTCACCCAGATTCCACGGGACACGGCACAGGCATCAATTAATTCCCGCATTGTAGCCTGGCCGGACAATACTTCTTTCAGGTGGCCTGCGATACGCCGTGCAGATAGTTTTCCCCTAATTGTTTTGAGCAGTGCATCAGTTTGTTTTGTCCCGTTCAAAGGCGTAACACGCGACTAACTTTGTTGACGCACGAGGGGCGGCGCGTTTGCTTTGCCGCGCTGATAAACGCGCGCGCCGCGTTTGCGAGCCTATTTTCGCGCGGCGTGCTTTTTTTAGACCTCTGAGGACTGCGTGTATCGCACCCCGGAGATCTGCCGGGGATGCGCAGGTCCCGGAAACCGGGGTAGATACGAGAACGCGACAGGGGACCTGAAACCGGTCAACGACCACGAAAGTATCTGACAGCGTTTAGGGTTACTCTGGATCTCGATCGAACGTCTATCGCTATAGACTCGCGGGCTTATCGAGAATTCTTTCATCGTGCTTTCACAATGGCGGATCACGTTTGACAGTAACGTAACCGCTGAAGGGAAGCGCGTGTTGCTTGGCAAAGGCTAGAGATAATAGCAGTGGCAAGAATGGAAATGTTGCAGCTGCATTGTGATGTTTGTTCGGTTTAGAAGCTTGTAGTAAGGTCGTACAAGGTCAGGGTAAAATTGTAGTACAACCGTGGAACCGGGTTATTCTTGGCAAGATATGGCCGAAGTTGGAAATCTATTTTTTGCTCTTTTTGGTTTCAAGATCTTTGAGCCTCTTCGTTTAGTCCGTATTTGGCTTATTTATTCAGGTGAAAACTTTGTTCCTTGACAGGGATTTCAGATATCTTTCGACTAGAGAGTTAACGTCGACTTTTATCGGGATAAAAGCTCGATTATATATATACCCACTTCCTTCCATCCTAATAGTATATTTAGACACACATTAAAGGTAGCTCCAGTGTTAAGAGTAAAGTATTATACACGAGAAGCGAGCGAAGTTAACGGGGTCTCAGGAACAGTTTCCTCCTTCGGCTATTTAAAACCCGCCTTAAAGTCCCAACAATTAATAACCCCGAGCAACCGACGCAGAAACAAAGACCCCCAATAAAAGACGAAAAATAGTTTCCACGTATCACCCGAATCTGTAGAATCCAAGAAATGCTGGAATACCCCGGGTCTGGTACTACAATTCCAACCCCGTGGCATATAATTCAGCATCAGCTGGCGAGCAAAAAAAGATACGCGAGGAAAAATCCAGCGAAATTCTCCAACGTTTGCATCACTCGCAAGAGTAGAAGTTTCTCAACTTGCAGAGGTTCACGACAACCCGGGATAAAACTCCCGTCGACAGACTCGCGAGAGGCGATTATTAGGGTCCGTGAGTCGTCGTTTCCGAGCGAAACGAATCTCATTCATGCGAGTGAGAACCGGTGGGAACGATCCTCGGTAATCGTGCGCCGCCGAATCGATCGTTCCCGATTTAAACGGAGGCTTGTCTCTTTTTTTCCTCCTTTCCTTTTTCTTTTTCCTCTTTTTTTTCGTTCTTCTTTCTCTTGGCTAAGGAAACTCGCTGAACCCTTCGAGGCGTCCCGATTTCGGCCGCGCCGCGCTCACGAGGATCCGCCCTCGTCGAGAGCCCACGTCCTCGTGTGTCTCTCTAATATTTTTACACCCGGCGACTGGAAAAAGCGCGGATCGATAGTTATATTTATAAACGCATCGTTCTGAAACAAATTCATGGAAAATAGATGAAGCAGACACGCGAGAGCTCGGGAAGCCTGGCTGGCCAAAATTAAACTTCGAATGCAAGTTCCGGCTTCCAGTCGTCGGTTTGCCACGCCTCGTGTAATCCTCAGCCTCGCGAGCGTCAAAGGGTTCGCGAGTCGCTGGTACAACCTGCCGTTCCAACGAATGGGATCGAGAACGTGTTACAGCGACGGTAAATAGCTCGAATGATGCGTAACAACGCCGATACATACGGCGAGATGAAATTCGCGTGAATGGAGAACATGACTCGTTCCTAGTCCGAGCGTGTACAATGTGACGGAGATACGAGTTAAGAATGTTGGCTCTAGAATGTTTGATATTCGTTAAGCTCGGAGCTCTCGCTGAAAGACATTTCTTTCCGTCCTGCTTCTGCAATTTCTAGTTCAGCACCCGGGCGATCTGTGCCTGGTTAAACTCGCTGCCGATTTTGAAACTTCTCCAATGAACTTCTTCAGCCGCTTCAAGTGCGAATCTTCAATGAGGCGAATGGTGAAATAATTTTATAATTATCGAGAAACGCGCGAGATCGTCCCTAGAGATTGTAATAATCCGAAATTTATTCGAAGCTGCTTAAGAAATTGCGCTGTGAGCAAATATCGTGTAAGAGAGCAGATATGGTTGACCTGTACTACTGAAATGCAAGAAGCAGCGGATGCAAGGAGTAAGAGGGAATAAACTGATTATGGTCAGCCATCTTTGCAACTAATTTGTCTGTGCATATCTCGCAAGGTACCCGGTGTGATTCAAAGGATATTACACGATAAGATTTAAACGAGTTATTTGTATATCATTTGCTACTTACGCCAGGTTCGTAGCTTTAATTGTTTGGAGAAAGATTTGATAGCGAAATAATTTAAAGAATTATACAAAAGCGAAGGTTTATATTGATGTTTGTTGTTAGTGATTTATCCGATGAGAAATTAATTATTAAATAAACAATAAACTCGTGGAGGTACGTTTTAATACCGGTGAAATGATAAAGAGAAATTTTCATGGGGAAGCAATTTACAACGAGAAACCTTTAACTGTCTTAAACGCAAAAATCTCTGGCTCTAAAAGCCTCTGGGATCTCACTTGCGGGGAAAGTTCGAATACAGGAAATTAGACCGCGTTAAACCATTCAAACCTCTCCTCTACCATTTTTCCCTATCTTCAATTCATAAAGAAAAAAAGACCACCCAACCGGATTATCGGACTATTATTCGAATCCGGATCTTTACCAGACAATTGCTTTACCGAATCGAACAATCCAAAGCATCGACAGACTGCTGTCCCTAAATCCAAACGTTAGAAAACTCCTATAGCCGTCTCTAAATCAAACAAGAATCGTGATAGGTTTCGCAGACATATTCTACTGTTGGTCTCCTAAAAATCTCTACGAAGCTTGAAATCCGATTGAAATCCAGAAATTTGCCAAGGAAATTTCATGGAATATCCAAGAACTTTAAAATACATTTACTTACAACCTATTCAAACTAGCAAATAGCTTACAAATACACACTACTGTTTAACACAATTCCTATACCCTTGTACTGATGTTTTAACACTCTCGCAATTTAATACAGAAATATAAACTTAACCACTAACGCTACCAACGATATTCCATCATAAACCTAAACATCAGTCTAACAGTCCCGGGAGACCAATTATAGAATCTCTCTGTTTCCTAACCTAAATGTTCTCCATTCGAACGTGTCTCTAGCAATCTCGATCCCATCCGTTTGTCACATCATTCAACGCAATCAGCAAGAAGAAGACAAATGGAAGAATCAGTGACTTACGGGTGAGAGACGCGCCGGTGTAGACTCCTCATGGACATGGCTCTGTTCTTGCGATTCGAGCTCGAAGTGGATCCGTTCGCGCTTCCGTTCGGCGTGGTATGGCGTGGCGCAGCTGCTGGGGGAGCGGACTGCTCCCCCGTGGCCGCCACGGCCACCGCCGCCGACGTGAGGCCCCCCGAGGTCGCCAGGCCGGTACGCCGAAACGGGCCCGAGCTAGCCGCTAGTCGGCGTGCTAATCTGCGGGCGAGCCGACGGGCCAGGCGCGCCCCTGCAGCACCGGCACCCACGCTGACGGTCTTTCTGTCCCACCCCCCGTGGCCAGGGGGTGGTACACGATGCCTGGTGACTGCTCCGGCGACGCTGCTCTGCGCTCTCTCCTCTCTTCGCCGCCTGTCCTCGCGCCTATTTCACCTGCACTCCGCGGCTCCTCACCGGCCCGATCACTGCCTGTCACCTAGGCCTCTTCTAGGATCAACGTGACTTTTCGTGCATCAACGCCGATAAGTATGGCAATGGGCAAGCTTCTAGCTGGCGAGGTGCTTTGATCTTGAGGATCTGTTTCTTGTGGTAACCGTGGTGCGCGGTTGGACTGGCTGAAAAGAGGTCAGAAGTTTCAGTTAGGTGGGTTAGATGGTTTGCCATGGAGTTTTGATTAGAATGTACAAATGGCTAGGTTCGTGGAATATTTTGCAACTTTTGCAAATATTTTGTAACAGTGTTGTTATTAAGATCTTTTACATGCGTCACGACGTTAGGTCTCTGGGTATTAAATTAATTCTATGTACAAGTCTCGCTGTAAACTGAAAGTTTGCATCGGATTGATACATTTTTTGAGCAACTGATTTTGAGGGTCCTTTGGATACGCGTGCACTTGATTGATACGTGTACACCAAAGTGCTAGATTACAATTTTTCAGAATTACAGCTACTATAAATTTTCGATAGCGTACTTAGGCTTGAATTGAACACGTACTTGAAACAATTAATTACAAATTGGTAACAAGGTATTCTCAGTTTTCATACCCGAACACGCCCGCACAATATTGCTTTTTTTCAGTGAACAACTTAATTATCCACGTTATAAACTATTTCACTAGCCTTACAAATAAAAATCAAATGGAACGATGCCGAGCTGTGCTGCTGCTCCATTTCATGTAACCTGTTCTTGGCCAAGTGCACGCGTACTCGACGAATTTTCAAAATCGATTTCCCCCACAACGAAGACTTTTACAAAAAAAAACCTTTCTTCTACATTCTTGGCTCGAATTTACACGAGAATTCGCTTTCCTCTCGACTGTACGTAAATTTTATACACTTTCGTTAAATCTTTGTACAACTGCCACTGTATACAAAATATATGCATCCATAACAGCTAAACGGTGTCTTTGACGGTCTCATAACAGAAACCAAATTGTACATCCGGGATGCAGAATACAACAAAGGTGAATTTGAATGAATTCCAACGAGTGGCTAATGTGTTGCGTGCATACATACTCTGACCTACTCGAGCCAGCTTTTTTCTGTTTCTAAAGGAGCTCGACTGTTTAGTCAATTTCGTGTGGCACGAATTTCGCGTGATTTCCCCGCGACACTAAACATGTACACGTGATTTTTATCGTCGATCAGAACGTGTTACGGTACGAGCACCGTGTTGATTCGCGTTTCGTGGCCCCGGGAACATTTTTGAGCTGCGTGGCTCATTTGCAATGATAAAGAGGAAACAATGTCAAGGGCTTTCGAATAGGAAGCAGTTGAACAAAGAAAAAGAAAAGAAAGTTTCGAGCAACGTCACGCCTTGGTCTAACGCTATACGCTAAATATTTATCCCATTTCCCTGGATGCTGGCCAGAAATAAACAAACGCGACTCGAGGATCCAGAAGGCGAGGAGGCTCTTCTGCGTGGCGTTGAAACAAGAAGGGAAAACAAATACAGAAGTTCGGACGCAGAGGCGGTAGCTAATTAATTTTCACGCAAAGTCTTGCTGCTCTTCTCTCAACGATTCCATTCGGCTACTGTCTGATTTTAATTATCCTCCAACACACGAAAAACCCGTGCAACGCTTTGATTCCATTCCATTTAACGTGCGATCCGCGTCTGTTACGTGTTTCCAAGTGGTAAAGTCAACTGAAAACTCAACGAAACAAAATCGTTAACAAAACGGAAAAAAGTGGGCTCGACGGTGTGGTAATTAACATAAAAATGATGTTTAAACTGAGTAGCGAGGATAGGAGGAAAAGGTGGACGTAAAAATAATTCGTACCTGCGAAGGAATCACGAGGTGGCCGAGAACGCGATTCGAAACCGGCGATTCATCCCACTTCGTTGCTGGATAGGTCGATACACGCGATTCGACGTCAGTGATCGAACATCAGGCTCTCCTCGGTGTAGTTATCGGTGTATCACAGTTTGTAGATCCGACGCATGCCCCGCGATCGACCATCGTTTCCATTAATTACACTCGCATTTCAGCCTGGCACACTCTGTGTCGCGCCCCCTTTCATTCACACCCATCTCCTTGAGCGCACGTGTTCACCTAATCCTCGTTTAATATATCTTAGTATCACAATGGACGATTTTATTTTTCTATCTTGCTTGTGTTAATAATTTATATACTCCCTCCTCCTCTTCTATGTCCCACCTTCTTCTTTTTCTCTATCTTCCTCTTCCTCTTAATATTTGTTTAAACCTTAAGCTTAGAAATCACAGTCGCGAATTGATACGGATCTCCGTAGCATGTGCTGCTGCTGTTGCCGTTGCTCGCTAGAAACGATCACACCGCCTCGTATATCAAGCATGCCCTCCTCGCTCTTTCTCTCTCGCTCTCCACGCGCTGCACACGATTGGTAGGTACGACTAGTCACCGATTACTCTCCTTGGAAAAACGATGGTTGGCCGCTGAACGATTCCGAACGATTCGGTTCTCGAAGGGCTGCACGTATACACGGTGCTCTCCCCGATTATCTTTCGTTTATTCGCCTCCTTTCGTTTATTTAATATTCGCTCTGGGACGGAATGCGCGTGTTCGTTCGCCAGCCGTGTGTGCGTGCGGCCGTCTCACACCTGTTCGACGGAAAAACTCGACACGAGAGAAAGCACAGGATTATTCCGCGTCTATCTGCCTCTGGAAGGAGTTTCACTATCGACCATCAATGCGCACGTGCGGCCGACGGGCAATGTGCCGAATCTCTGACGAGGAGGACGCATAAAAACGACGTCGATGGGCGGCCTCAGAATCGAGACACGGCTGCGAGTCGCGGGAAACGAGTTGCCGTGGTCGCGTGCTTCGCGTCGCTGCCTTCTCGCTGTACCCTGCGTTTCGTCGCTACGACGCGATTCTTCACGTTCCGCTGGGCCACGCACGAGTATCCAGGTGCCATCCTCTCTTTCTCTCCGCTGTTGTGTCGTATCTGCTTCCCTTTCTTTTTCTTCTTCTTCGTCTTCTCCTTTTTCTTCTATCCCACCACTCTTTCTCTCTTTCTTTGTCCCTCTATCACCATCTACTTATGTCCGTCTCCCTCTCGCGCGTTCTTTCTCGCTCGTTATTACTGATCACCGTATGTTCCGTCTCTCTCTCCGTCGACGATGCGTCCGAGCATCGTTCGAAAGAACCAGATGTCGCGGCGACCGTTATTCTTCCCTCTCGATCCTGTCAAAAATCACACATCTCAGCTAAGTATCGTCGTCACTGAACGTCGGTGCGCATCTCCGACGGCAGTTCGACGGCATGGCAACCTACACACGTAACGGGACTCGGTGGCGCGATAGTCTCGATGCCGTGCGACCGTCAATCGATCGAAAATCATCTGCCCGCCTCGAGTCGTACTCCACCGCTCCTCGCTGGCACGCTTCGACTCGATCCAGCCGTGTTTCTCGCAAGCCCATCGACTCTTCTGCTCTAGGATGGTGGCGGGGGAAATCGACGTTCGACCGACGACCACGGCGACTTGTCACTTCGCTTCTGCTGTCTCTCACTCGACCGCCACTCTGTTTCTAACGATATATCCGTTCCGGGTTCTGCCAACGGCCGCTAACGACATCTGATTTTCTTCGATTGCGATCCCGCCGCTTATCCGACTGCCCTGCCTTTCTCTCTCTCTCTCACTTGCTCGCTCGCACTCTTTCTCTCTCTTCCTCTCTCTCTCACTCGCTCACACTCGCTCGCTCTTTCTCCCCTACTCCCTGCCCGTTCTCACTTGCCCTCTCTCTTTTTTCTCCTCCGTCCTTCTTCCGACGTCCTGTCGCGTTACTCGGATAGATGTAGCCAGTGTACACCAGTGGCCGCGCACACGCTTTCTCTGTCTCTCTCGGTCAATCGCGACCAGCCATTATTACCGAGTAATCCCGCGACTGCTTAATTACTCTCGATACCGCACTCACCGCCGATATATCTCGATACTTCCCTCTCGAAGCACGGGACACCGACAACACGGCTTGCTCGCGTGACCCGTTTACGTTTTGCAGTTTTCTTACCCCCCGATGACACCACCAGCTCCTTTTCTCTTTCTCTCTTTCCTTCTTTATCTTTCTCTAACTCGTCCCGTCTACGATTCACTCTACGTTGTCAGCACTCCACTCTTCCGAGGACCGGTTGTTCGTTTCGACGTGTGGCGCACCGTTGATCCTTCTCTCTGCGACTGTCAAACGAAAAGAGACTCGTTACGAAGAATCGAACAGAACACGACGTCCACGATGTCGAGTGTGTCGTTTTTCCAATTGTTTTTTCCGTTAAGACACACGCGCGCGCGAACTTCGCTTTATCTTCCCCTTACCCCCACCCCGCCGCCTTTTGTAACGGTTTTCTCTTAACCTCGACACCTACGATTCCTTACGTTTGCCTGTCTCCCTTGCTCTCCCTCACACGCTCGCACTCACCTCTCTCAACCGTACACTCTCTTTCGTTTTCTCTCTCTCTTTCTCGCTCTCGCGACTTTCATTCATTTCGACATACTCGAAGGGCGCGACGTTTCCTTTAAGACGATCCCATACACGCGCCCCGCTCCTGTCCTTATCGATTATGACGCATACTGCATGGAGAAAGGCTGCCCACCCGTCGACGGCCAAAAAGGATTCCCCGCGTGAACAGTTCGCAGATCCCTCTGCTTGCCTAGCCCACGACAAGAGAATCCGCGAGAATCCGTGCACGGGTGTCGCAAGTGTGTGTGTGTGTGTGTGTGTGTGTGGGTGCCTGCGGCAGCCGTGTTACGTGTATAAGCGTAACCCCGACCTCGATGTTAGGCGGCTGATAGCCGGCCTCACACTGATACGGCTCCGTCGTTACGACCACGGGCCATACCCGCCCCTTCCATACCCCCACCATACCGACCGAAAAAAACTACACCCCTCTTTAGAGGGACGACCGACGCGCCTCTCCGCGGCGTTTGTGTCAAATAATTCGTCGGCCCTTCGATTCCTACGCAACGCGCATGCGCTAACCGCCGAACCAACGTTTTTCGGACAGAATTGTATGCTGTTCCGTACCACCTGACATTTTTTTATGGCTTCGATACTACGAACATTTCGATCGAATATTTCGAATGCGGTCCTTTGACGATATGATTTGTTGACAGGAAATATCAAAAGGAACGCTTTACTTTCTTCGCGTAGACTATCTTACTATGCTACTTTACAGCAGAGATAAAAATATAAAACTTTATGTATTATGCATACATGTTTTAGTTTTTCTTTATAATTCTAGCAAGCTAATATGTCTATATGTTTATAACCTATCATTTTGTTACCGTGTCGGGCGATTGCATTCGATCGCAATGTACGATTCAAATTTGAAAAATTTCTTTAAAAAACATCCAACATTTCCGCATACCGGAAAATATACATGAGAAACAGTAATGATAAATACAGAATAAATGTAGATTTTTATTAATTTTTAATTCTACTAGACATATTTTATTTTTAATAAAACCAAATTTTAATACGAGGAATATTCAACATTACCATAAAAAGGAACAAAAGTAACCGTTTCTATGCTAACATAGAAACATATATTTTATCTTTCCGTTCAATTAACCTTCTTTTAATGACACTTTGTTAGAAACGTTCCATTCGCAGGTATGTGTTGAACATTGGTTGCGTGTGTAAAGGAGTATTGCAGGACTATGCTTTATGTGGCGTTTCCTGCGGCACGAACTAACACTGAGGTTATACTATACCGAAATCATATATACGTTGACTACGTTTAATCGATGCCGCTGATAAAGCCAGTATGAATATATAGAACGAATTTCATTCGTTGTCTTGTAAGTTTAATTTTGCTATTAATAGGTAGATTTTTTCGGTGTGCTCTTTTATACGGCCTGTACTTTATGTTCATGGATAATTTGATAATAATAAATATATGTTTTCTAACATATAATTTATTAAGATATCAAAGTATATCATTTTACGATTGTTGTCAATAACTTCAGTTATAAACTTGTTTTTCCATTTAGGCATACTTACGTATATACATAATTTTTTAAATTTTCTTCATTTTCATATGCATTTTTACCAATATTCTAGTTAATCAAAAAATTACACAAAAGAAATGAAGGAAGGCATTATGATATAATCCTATTATTATGTATCGTATAAGAAATAAAAAGAAACATCAGTCATAAAAATAAAAATGTAAAATGTATAAAAAAAAAGTATAATTTTCAAATTACTTACCCTATATTGATATTTATGTTCTTGTTTTAAAATCATGTTTAAAATCATAACGGCATTTGGAACCATTCGATCGCTACAACGTAGAGTATCTGTGACGACATCTTTTCGTACACGCTGGAACTTCCTTCTGTCTTTTCTTATTCAAATTTTCTATCTACACCAAAAAATCTTTAATCTATTAATAACTTCGTATAATATGATCTTCAATATATATTTTTTTATAAATATTTGCTTTAAAATAAATATTTACCATGTACAACTATAAATTACTGTTCAATCTTAATTCAAGGTTAGTAACAATAATCTATTGTTGTAAAATAAGAAAATACACAAAACTACATTTTATTCTTACCAGTCGAGTTATCATCTTGCTCACTTACGCTTAAACTTTAAAATAACTTTAAATACGCAATAAAACTGTTATGTTCTCTAAATAATTTCAGGAGACAGTACGCACAACGATTCCATTGGAAAGATTCGTTTGAAAAGATATCCGCGTTTCAAATTACAGATGTCGCCAGTATCCAACGGAGCTTTCCGTTAATCGCCCGATGTAGTGTCGATGGATCGAGAAATCGTATAGTATCGACCAGAACAGCGGGTGCAGTCTGTCAGAAACACTAGAGACGGGGTTTTTGTTCTGTCGGAATTGCACGGTTCTGAGTAGACTTTTTTTCTTCTCAAGAGAACGAGTAATGCTATCGTGACGCTTGTGCAACAGAATTGTGTTGCGCGAAAAACAGCATTTATAACAGTTTTCTTTTACGTTCTTCCAAAGAACGACAGTATTTTACACCGGACTACTGCTATAGCCATTTTTGTAGTCCTACGCTAAACAAACGTGCCTCTTGTGATCCGCAATGGCGGAGACAAATGGGGCCGCAAATTTAAATACGAAAAATGGCAATTTCATCTGTGGCGTCGTCGAAGGTTAATCAACGATTTTTTTATTGCATGAAACATACGTATTTGATCATCGTTTGTAATGGTTTTACGTAGGAGGGGAAATGATTGGAATGCGTTATTCGTTACAATATTCAGTATCATTTGCATAAAATATCAATTGATATTTCAGGATTTTATGGGCGACCTTGGACCACAGAACAAAGGAAGGATTTATTTCAAAAGCAAGTATTTCAAATTAATTTTTATTAAGTTCCAGCGGAGTGGTAAAGACTTTACTTTAAGCTCCCCTACTTATTAATTTTCAGGTTAAAAAAATGGGGAATGGATTCATATTTATATGCACCCAAAGATGATTACAAGCACCGTGCATATTGGAGAGATTTATATACAGTAGAAGAAGCAGAACATTTAACTGGATTGATAACAGCTGCGAGAGAATGTGGCATTACATTTTATTATGCATTGTCTCCAGGGTTGGATATTACTTATTCAAGTTTAAAGGAAGTTACTATATTAAAAAGAAAATTAGAGCAAGTTAGCCAATTTGGGTGTACTGCATTTGCTTTATTATTTGATGATATAGAACCAGAAATGAGTGAAGCAGATAAAGAAGTATTTCAATCTTTTGCACATGCACAAGTATGTATTAATTGATCAAATTAATATAATAATAAAATACTTTACTTTTAGTTAATTTTAACAATCTATTTATAGGTTTCTGTAACAAATGATATTTTTCAACATCTTGGTCAACCCAAATTCCTATTATGTCCAACACAGTACTGTGCAACACGGGCAATGCCAAATGTAGCATCTTCAGAATATCTTAACACGCTTGGTAGTAAATTAGCTCAAGAAATTGATATAATGTGGACTGGTCCTAAAGTAATATCCAGACTTTTAACTGTTGAATCCATTGAGGAGATTACAGAAGTTTTAAGAAGGCCACCAGTCATATGGGATAATTTACATGCTAATGATTATGATCAGAAGAGAGTATTCTTAGGACCATATGCTGGTAGATCTCCTGATCTAATTCCTAAACTGAGAGGTGTTTTAACCAATCCGAATTGTGAATATGGTGCAAATTTTATAGCTATCCATACATTAGCACAATGGAGCAGATGTAATGTTGATGGCAAAAGAGACTTAAGTTTGAGTGAGTATTTAGTTGTTTCTAATTATAAAATACATTTAATTTTTTATTATATTGTCTTCATTTTGGTTTTTGTAGATGATACTGTATCAGCTGACATAAAATTGGAGACTGAAACAGAGGATGGTGTCCTTGGTGAAGATGTTCCTTCAACAATGTCTCCAAACATATATCATCCACGGCACGCTTTGAAAAATGCTATTAATGATTGGTTAGTGGAATTTAATAAAAAACGGAATGCATGGGGTGTTATAGCAAAACCACAACCATGCGTTGCTCCAACAGTACCAATTCCAATAATTCCCTCTGTGAATACATGTATGAGTCTGACGTCGACGACGACTACAACTAGTGTTCCCGCAACGTCTACGCAAGTAAATAATTCCAATCACCTTCAAGCATTAGCCGAAGTTTGCTCAACTGTGACAGCCAGTGATAGTTACATACAATCTTCCTCTGTTCCTGTTATGAATTCTTTGGTATCTGAAACAACTGTTGTTAGCGAACCCATTATTCCATCAATTTCTACTAGTGTGGAAAATGTACCAAGTTCAAATATTTTATCATCCATGGAACCAATGGATTGTAACACAACACCTAATAATTCCCCAGCACATACAGCCAAGATTCAAACAGAGGATGATGCAATGGTAGAAAATACTTCTGTAAGTTTTTCTCAGTGTCAACAGTGAAATTTGTAAAATTTATGTAATTCTTTACTTTACTTTTCAGACATGTAGTGAAGCCTCTGGAAGTATGCAAGTGGAAGTGGATGGCACTTCTCCTGTTGTAAATGGTACACAGATGATCGTAGAAAACGATAGTGAAAATCATGATAGCGGCGATAATGCAGATCAAGAGTCTCAGGAATCGATTGATACCGATAAGCGATTGACGCAAGAAGACCTATCACTATTATGCGATCTTTTCTATTTACCATTTGAACACGGTGGTCAAGGCATTCAGTTACTGCAAGAGTTTAACTGGTTGAAAAGTAATGCTTATGTTGTAATGAGAAAGCAGAAAGAAGATGAAACTGCATCTGAATCTGATGTATGTAATTCTTTGATCGATACATTATAATTAAATCATATGCATAAAAAATTATTTTAAATAAACTTCTAGATCGAAGAATGGCATACGCGGGCAGCTAAATTAAACGACATGTGCAATGCTGTAAATAGACTATTTCAAAGACTTACATACTGTAATAATCGTGAGTTGTTATATGATCTGTATTCGTATGTATGGGACATGCGAGGAGTCGTGTCTCTCTTAAACAGTTACGTGAAATGGTTGGGTAAGTTGCATTTTATACCTATAATAAATTCAGTATATTTATTAGTATGTTGTTATGTTTTGATATTCCTTCAAAAAAGAGAAGTAAAAGTAAGAAAGATATTTCAAATTATATAGAAAGAAATACCAAAAGCATTCCAGTAACAGTGTTCTCTTTTAATACTGTTTAAATATTTCTTAATTCCTTGATTGTCCATTCTTTTAAATGTAACTATATGGAAATAATAATGTTAGAATATATGAAGAAAGTTCATTCAAGATGGTAGTATGCTGGTACAATGATTAAAATAAAGAAAAATGAATTACATATTACTACAATACAAAATTACAAAACATATAAAATGTTATTATATTTTATTTTTTCTTTACTTTTTGTATTATATTGCGGATGAGTAGCCAGTATTTGTTGTACTACAGATGAGTGCTGTTATTAATTTTTCTCAAAAGTACTATAATTTATTACCTATACTTGTATTTCAGAACAAAAGTGTCTCGAGTATTGGTAAGTGTAATGTTCTATCTGTCTTTTTAACTCACTCATTTTGTCTTTTTACAAGAAAGATGTGTTTTTTAATGAATTATGCTATAATTTTTGCAACTAATAGAAATTTATAATTTTGTAGAAGTTGAAATCACAATTTAATACACTAAAAAATACCTTTTTATATTGTTTTTCAAACATCTTTTTAAACTTAGATCTAAAAATATTTTTCTTTTAAATCTTTCAATGATTCACACTATATCTTACACTCCACTTCCTTGTAAAATGACATAATTTATACAATCATAAAACACGCAAAAAACATTGATTACTGATTCCATAAGTTACTGATGTTTTGTTAATCTGCTTTTAAAAACAACAAAACTATTTATTTTTTATAATGTAATTATCAATAAATAAAAATGAATATTACTATTTTCAATTAGTGATAAACGTTTTAAAAAATTAATATTTATTATTTTGTAAAATATTTTTATAAAATATTAAATATTGTAATATAAAAGTATAATATATACAAATACATATATACAAGACTAGAAAAAAAATCAGTTTGTCAAATTTGCTAATTTTTTTCGAAAAGTTATTTTTAATGATGTGGGTACCTTTTAGGTAATTAGGATATGAACATACATCGGTAATAACTGGAATTAAAATATTTCATAGATCGCATATCTGTGAAATTGTATTTATACATTTGTTTCTGCGCTTTAGAATCAAATGTACTGTGTGGCGCGCGTAAACGAATAAACAGGGTTGCCGTAAGTCAAAATTAGAGCAAATTAAATATACAAGTTGTACTTACTTTTGTTACTCAATACATTCATATCTCCTAAAAGAATACAAACCATAACTGCATTATACAATTGCACCAAACATTATTTCTTATACAAAACTAAAACACAAACTTAATCAGTTATTTTATATTTAAAAGTAATTAAAATAAATTTTTTTACTTTTAACTATATATAGTTTTTTATAAAATAATTTTCTTATTTATCGACTAACGGCTTCCTACTTATAGTTCTAATAATGAATAAAGAATGTCCCAGCATTTCTCATGTTTTCTTTAATTTTTTCTGGTCATAATTTTCATTTCATGATTAAAATATAATTAGAGTAATCCATAGGATTACAATATATTATTACAGTAAAATAAATCACGAAAACAAAGAGAATTGATGTGACGTTTTAGCGCAATATTTGGTGGAAGGATCTTCCATAGTAAACACTTTCTGGGAAATTATTTAACAGCATCTATGTGGACCTGAACAAATACCGTGTTTTAAATAACCTTGTGCCAGCTATTAACATATTGGCTGACTTTCTTTCACAGATAATGTTTAGCAGAAATTTATTATTTGCACTCATACTTAAAAATTCATAATTGATTTAAAAATCTATAGTAGATATCTAAAGCGGTATCATAGAGAAAGAAAGAAAGTAATGTTTGCAGTAAATAATTTCTGTCGACAATATAAGTGTATGAGGAACAGTACAGCTTCAATTCACTGACTAACGTGCGTTTCTGTGTTTTTTGTCTTGTTGATAGCGTTTGGCAGATTCCCGTCGACGATGACAACGTTTACCCAGGGAAGCTATACATGTATGCGATTCACCAGTCTGAGTAATCCAATAAAAAGCGCGCGACTAACAAAGCTTCAAATCGGTGAAACTCATGATAAAATTTCAATGTGTGTTTGAAGCTTTGTGAAAGAACCATTATAATTAATATAAACAAGAGATTTGCGCGTAGAAGCAGCGTTCTGATGCCTTGAAGGATCTATTTGTATTCAACACAAATATCTTTAGTACTTAATGTAGTTTGGTACATGATGGACATACTTTTTTATTGTGCAAAAATTTCCCCAAAATTTTGTATTACTATTTTATTTTTGTAAGCTGTCTATGAATATTCTTTGATTTTTGTTTTGTTTTACAATTGTTATCTCTGTGATTGCATTTGAGTTTATATTTATATATTGCGTTTATATATACATATGTATATATATTATAATTGGAGTAACCTATGGAAGTAATAGAATAATATATATATATATATATATTATTCTATTACTTCCATAGGTTACTCCAATTATAATATATATACATATGTATATATATTATAATTGGAGTAACCTATGGAAGTAATAGAATAATATATATATATATATATATTATTCTATTACTTCCATAGGTTACTCCAATTATAATATATATACATATGTATATATATTATAATTGGAGTAACCTATGGAAGTAATAGAATAATATATATATATATATATATGTGTGTGTGCGCGTGTGCGTGTGTGTGCGCGCGCGTGTGGTGTGTGTGTGTATGTATGTACTAAATACACTTGCAGATTGTATTAACATAAATTTTCTTTTCTTTGTAAAGATAACATTTCAGTGAATTTTGTGTGGTAATAATTTTTGCATGTAAAGTAAGTTCATCACAAATTCCTAAAAAATTGGCGAAGTCAGGACAATCTTATGATGTTGAGAGCTATTCCTGAGAATTATACTGGTCAAACACAACCAATGAAAGTTGTGTCTTCTGTACTCTTTTTTATTTTTTCAAATTTTTTAAGCTATTTATTATTTGCAAGAATCAATAAGGTTTATCACAAATTATGCTTTTATTGCGTTCATTGAAGACATCTTTTGTAAATTGTGAATGACCAGTAATACATCCTCCTTTTGCCAACTTGCCTGTACTAATTTCTTTTAGTTCCAGAAACTGTATTCTTTTCAGGAGTGATAGGAGTTTTATTTCAGGCGCATTTTGGCAAACTGGATTACCATTCCACCCAATCCCATTTTCCTTTCCAATATCTCAGGAATTTGACATTGCGCGAACTTTGGTGCAACATTCTTCAAATATTAATTTTTTTATTGTTACTCTTTACTTTAGTCATAATTGGTTCAACATTAATATCAATATGCAGTCTTCTGATGTAGAGAATTTACTCTCCCTTTAATGAGACTCGTTTCCTATAAAGTACGTTATGAGTTTCTTGTTCCTTTTTATTTAAAAATTGTTCAGTAGACATATGATCAATCAATTTTAAGGCAATCAAGTTACATATGGTTTTATTGGTTAACGAAATGGTGCACCGTAGTTTTTGTGTTCGATTGATGGGTTTCTTTATCTCGCTAATACTATTTTCTTAATTTTTGAAATAATGTAAAAAGCATGGTAGTGCGAACGAGATAAGGAATCATAAAACGCCATTGATCGAAGTCTACTTATGCATGTTACAAATTTTAAGCAAAATTAGTGTTCAGAGCAGTGGAGGCCATTTCATAATAAATTTTAAACTGCATAATCGCGCGTACATCACGTTTCGTATTTTACCAATTTATTAAAGCTGTGTACTGTGTCTTGGAACAGGGTTTTCAAATGGCTGGAAAGAAACTTTTATGAGTGGAGATCAAGAACCATGGGTATTCCGTGGAGGACTTACTGCTGATCTACAGGTATATTTGTCTATCATATATTTTCAGCTAAGAAAATATATCAATTAAGAAGAAAAAAATCTAACACATGTTTCTTCTTACAGAGATTAATTCCAGTGGACAGTGGTAATGACTTATTCGTTTATAAAGCACCTGAAGTGCCCAGTAGTAAAATCTACACAATTAGGCCTTACTTAACAAGTGATGAAAATGCAGTTTATGCTGTGTGCAATAAAATTTGTGGTTGTGTGGCATCATCTGCAGTTGCAGATCGGTAAACGGAATATTTCTATTATACAAATTATGTTCTTTATTAAAGTAAATAATTTTAAATACTGAACTCTTAACCATAGATTAGTCGGCGGTTTTCTAACTCTGAGTCCAGAACTGTGTATGGTTGTCGAAGATGAAAATGGTATAGTAGGTTATGCACTGGCTGCCTTAAATGTAAAGACTTATAATCAGAAATTAGCTGTTTCATGGATTCCTGAATTACGATTGAAATATCCATTAGAGGACAATATTAATGAATTGCCGCAAAATGTTCAGGTATTTATTTGTAGATCATTATCATTAATTGTTTAAGGAAATAAAATTTTGTAATTTATTAATTTTTGGTATGTGTAGGATGCCATACGGTATTTTCATTCGTTTACTTCGGATGTTTCTGAACAGTTGTGCAGACAACATCCATCGATGCTGTTATGCGCCATATTACCAGGTGTTACAGACCAATCTGTCCCTAAAAGATTAATTACGTGTATTCTCGCGGCTTTAAGAGCGAACGGTAAATAACTTCTTACATAATTTTGTAAGTAATATTCATTGTATGGTCTGTCTTGTAAGAAAATAATTTGTTTTCAGGTTCATTCGGTGTACACACTATAATGTCAAGTATGGATAAAGAATCTCACGAATTTTATAGTAAATTAGGTTTTGTCGATTTAAATCTAGCGCACGAGGAACATCCTGGAATCAAAACAATGTGTAGAAGTTTCTAACAAAGAGTGAGTACACCAGTGATATTTGTGAATAAAGTGTATTTGCTCGGACCATCTTCAAAGAAGGCTTCTATGGCTTAGAAACGAAGTTTCGAATAGCGTAGAAATTTATTTATTTCTAAAACAGTCCGAGGAAGCCTTCTATTTCTATCGTGTATTTTCGTGCAACAGACAAGACCGATTCGTCGAGAATATTTTCCTAGGAGTAGAGGAAAAGAGAATGCAGGCAGATTTTATATTACACAATTTTTAATCACTCGTACTTCCTTTCTAAAAACTGTCCTACAAGATATCTGCCGTCTTAAACCATAAGTAGGAAGAAGACAGAAATGAAAAAATCACCCAAATGTGTTTAATGATGTATGTGCATAAGTTGCATATATGACATGAAGTAAGTCGCAAGTTTGAAGAATGTAAAAGAAAGTATAAAACGTGCAATAGTAATATTTACACAGAGCAAAAAACGAATCAAGACACAGAGGGAAAATGAGGATCTGTTAATTTTATGAATATTTGTGTCTGTGAGTACAATGCTATGGGATTTTAGTATATCCAGTATGCTTGTATGTTAATAGGAAATCTTCTTAAAGATCGAAGGATGTACATAACGTGTTGAATGGGTGTATGATGAAACAAAGAAAATGCCAGTATGTGTGTTCAATTAATGAATTAATCGAAGCTTTTTAACCCATTGAAAAATATTTTCTTATCAAAACTATGGGCGCGAATGGCAAAAAAATTATGAGACAAGAGAATAAAGACAGTTTTGTTCTATTCATTTTTGCTGTAATGTCACAAAAGAATAAGAATACAAAGTCTAGTTTTTACATCGGATCCGCGTTTTTAAGAGAATAATCTAATTTGTAGGTATTGTACTGCCTGGTAACAAAAATATTCACTTCAAAGTGTGTAAATAGTCAATGTTTAATACGCCTATCGTAAGGCCTTTTTATGTTTAACGCATCGTCCTAATTAATGTTCTTGATTACGCAGATGTCGATATTATTAACGATTCCTAATCGGCTCTACGGTCGCATTACGTACGCATATGTGTATGTATTGTCACAGAAAGTGATATATATATAGAATTGTTTAAAAAATATTATTTCATTAGCATTTGCTCGTACTCGAAAGCCGCTAGCTAATTGCTTATATATTTTAAAGCGTCCTGGACGTTGAATAGCATGTACGTTGTGTTTTATACGATTGTTTATTTTATTAATGATAATAAGTTTTTGTCTTATTACAAATAACCGAATCTGTAATAAAATATGCAAAAATTGTTTATGTTCAGAAGAAAGCAGATAAAGCGTATGTAACACTAACAGTTAGGTCATTACATTGCTGGTTGGGTACTAACAAACTAGTTGTTTGTACTATGTTATATGCATCAGTGTATCAAATGTACAGAGCCAAGATAGAAAGTAATTAACGAATAAGGTGAACATACACAATAGACACACGTAACGAGAGAAAAAGAACTCAAATAAATATAGAAATCTTAGATATCTGCCTTATAATTACAATTGATCATAGTATTACTATAAAACAGTTGTATCACGGACTAAAATGTGAATTTTTGACCCTAAAGGAAGGATAAGAGTCGTATTAGGATTTGAGATTCGGTGCCATATACAAAAAAGAAAAGATTCGATCGTCGTGAAAACTGTTATAACTATGATATCTATTTTAATTCGGATTATCACTTTGTAGAATTTTTATACCCGTCATCCGTTTTCGCGATGATTGAATATAGAAATGACAAAAAAGAAGAAAAAGTTATCTTGACGGGAAGGCTGGAAAACAAAAACGCTTTTTATATTTTACTGCTCTTTTAGCTCTATTTTTTCTTGCTTATCTTTCCCCTTTCTTTTTCCTTTTTTTTCCTTTTTTCTTTTATGTGGACAAACCTATATTAATATTGATTTAAGCTCATGTACTTTTTGTTATACGAAAGTACGTTGATACACATATTTATAAAATATTTTCTATTTAATACAAATGATTCTTCAAGAGTATAATTTTTCTATAGCAAATCATTTTTTTAGTTCGTATCTTCTCTTTTTGATGCTCTTTAAACGATGAGAAAAACGTGCGTAATAATATTTCCAGTTGTCTCGTCGTATACTTATAAGTAACGTACGTGTAATTAACACTATTGAAACGATATGTGATTACTATTGATTTATTTAAATAAACATGTCAAGACTGATACTCCTGGTGTAGTCGAAATCGACATCGATTGTATCGGACAGTGATCGATAATTTTACTAGAATCGTTACAGTCTGTTTAATTTTTCGATGGTACCATTGCGATGTCATTGTATTTTTGCAAATTCTGAATTTCACTTTGGAATTGTAATATCTGAAATTTCAAGGAAAATGTACCAGAGTCAGTATCATTTAAAAATATATTTCTTTTCTGTTAGGAGTACTAAATTTTTAGTATAGGAAACTAGCGTATTGAGTACCTTTTCTATTTCATTCCTATACAGATTCTGTTTGGATCTAGGAGTTATTTCGTCTGTAGTATTTATTTCAAGTTTATTTAAGGATTCTAACAGTTCGTTAATCTTTTTGTTAATATCTCTGCAAAAAATTACTGTTTGGTTTCACGAATGTCTTATTATTGTGTAAGACTTTTAATTTTTTTAATTAAAGCGTAAAAAATTGATCACTTACGTCGGGGGTATAAATCTTTTCTTGTTTTTTACTTTTGATCCCAAATTTTTCTATAATTTTAATTAACGGATGTATAATGAAATTTGTATTGTAACTTAGTGGTCAAAGAAGTTAAAAAACCAATCTCACCAGTTTAGAATTTTGTTTGAATATAGAAGTATAATCTTCAACATTGAAACCAAACGGAATGTCATCTATTGAATAAATATTTTTTATTTAACAGTGAGATAATATGGCGAAGTTATTTTTATACCTTCGTTTCTTTTTATTGCCTTTTCCATGGCTTTACTGTAACTTCTTTTATCCCGTCTCCACTCTTTTAAAACCTTTTCATCCCTAAACAATTATATCATGTTTATAAATTTAAATAAATTGTGAAAATTAAAGCAAATCTTACTTTATTTTTTGAAGCACTGCTGTTTGTTTAGTAAATAATTCTTTTAGTTTGGAGAACCATAACAAACGATGTTCCGCCATAACATTTGCTCCTGTACTTTCACATCTACATAAATTAAAATGTTTAAATTTCTGCTAAAAATATTAACATATTAATTAATTGTATAATATATAATATACAATAAAGTATTTTATTCCTCATATTTATATACATAAATAATTTAACTTGTTTCTACACTATTATCCATTTATTTGTCTCTGTCTCTAGCATTTATTATTAAATAGTAAACTATTTATTTATTCCTAAATAATTTTCTAAACATGATAGCATCCAATCTGAATCATTTAATTTAAGAGGATCTAATTTAAATTTCTTTCCGTCATTAGTAATAATATCAAAAATACGTTCAGTATTTTCTGCATTATTTTTATATCTTTTATTATTTTTTGTCAGCGATATATTATTTTCCCTATGTAGTGGAGTTTGTATTTTACTTTGCTGATTACATTTACATTCCTTCTCAATTGATTTGCGATAGGTCTTCAAAATTTTTACATTTTTTCTGACATAAAGAGACCTTGGAGATGGACCCATCAAACGCAAAATTTTATTATTAATTTCATTGATTTCATCATCAATATCCTCATCAACTTTATTGTTAAAATTATGTGTAGTTTCCAACTTATCATACTTTGCTCTTTCATGTTGATATTTTAATTTTTTATCACTTTTAGATTTCGTTAATTTTTTAAAATAAGTGTCATAGAAAGATTTTGATATTCCTTCTAAAGTATAATGGTTGGTCAAAAATAATTTTTCGTCATAATACCTGTTACTGGGCTTATACGATTTACGTCTTTCTCGTTTAGATATATTTCTGTTGTAAATAGTGTTCTTCAATGGTAGCATTTTTTTCTTATCTTTTCGTGGTGATTGGTAACATAAAATTGTCGATAGTTTTGGTTCAATTCTATCTGAAAGAGTAAACAAAAACTGACTTTTTATCAATCTGTAAATCCCGTTCTGTATTTATTTTATTCTCTATTCTATATTTATTTATCTTATCATCAAATATTGTAGACAAGAAGTCAGTATAAGCATGGGTATCTTTCCCTCCAATCCTTTTCTGTTATTACTATTTATTGTTAATAAGTTACTAAAAACTATATTTTAATTAGGAGTCCAATTAAAATATATTTCTATTTTGTGATTATTAAATATTATTTTTATTAATTAATAAGTATTCATAAATTTATCCACATGGATCCATTTACTAATATATAGCCACCTACTGTCTTTGGGTTCTACTTGTTCTTCAGGATGTGCTTTATTCCACTCGATACGCAAAAATTCCAAAATTTCCGCGCAACCAGAAGTTACGACATCTTTTGGTGGCGTAATAAGTGGATTCTGCGTCACTTGGAGAGTTTTCAGATTTGGCAGGGTGCCTGAAAGAGGTTAAGCGTTTCTGGCCGAGTATCAAACTCGTTTTCGCGCAGCAAATTTGTTTAGCCAAAAAAACATACATCATTAACACGATTTATAATATCATAATCGAAAGAATTATGTCCAATTTTATAATTACTTATATCATTAAATTTACATATATGTAGGTACTACCTATATACTACCGACTTTCTGAGAATGATACGAGCTGCTTTAAAAAGTGAATGAAATTATAAATAAACAGATGGGAAAGGAAAGACTTTTAATTGGAACTTACAAAGCTCTAATGGTAAATTTTCCAATTTATTTCCTTGAAGCAAAATCGTTTCTAAGCACGAATGCCACTTGACAGTGGTTGGTAAAGAAGAAAGCTGATTATACCTGACATCTAACCATTCTAAATATTTCAAGCCACTAAAGATTTCGTCAGGAATTTCAATCAAACGATTGTTTGACAAGTATAGCATCTGTAAACAAGAAGAATGTATTCTTGTTGAAAGAATGTATGAAAGTTTGGAATCTTACTAGTGAAACTTATGCCAATCATATTAATATTTCAGTGCAATTACTTGCAAAAATAAAATACCCTTAATCGTGGAAAGATGCTCAGTATTTCACTGGGAAATTGTTTCAAGTCTGTATTCGAAAAATCTACAAACATTTCGTTGTAAATGGGTTCCTTTTTTCGTACTAATGGTGGCAAACATGTACTGCTTTTTGATGATCTTCGCGATTCTCTTATTGTCGAAGAAGAAGCTTCTGAGAGATTATCTGAAGAATTATCCTTGATGAGAGCCAGGTTCATTTCACTTTTATGTGTGTTCGTTGCATCGTTTGTTTCTACTTCTATAGTAAATAATATTTTACAATTCTTAAATTTACGATTAGGCTAAGTATATTATTCTATCGCTAGTGAAATTTTTATTTGAAACTTACAGCAAACTGTGGATTAAAAAAATTTTATATAAACTTTTCTATAATTTTTGTTTTTTTAATTTTTAGTTATTTGAAAATTTAATTTGGAAGGCACGTTATTAATTACCTGGTTCTTCAATATTTGTTTTAATAGAATGCAACGGAACATCATTCAGCGATTGTTCGAGTAATTGCTCATGCAATTGTTCAGTTGATGCAGTTTCAAAAATATTGCAAGCGATATTTGGTCCAAAATCAATATCACGCAAGTCGAAATTATCATCGCCATCATATGCATCCTCTAGGTTATCTAAAACTCGTAAGGGTCGTCGATATAAATCATTTGCAATACTAAGTTTTCGTTTTTCATCATTGTCTCCCTATGAAAAATTATATATATAAATAATACAGATATTATATGTTACAGATATCTTCAATGTAAAAATAAGAAGCAAATGTATTAAATATATGTCGATAAATCAGACTAAATGAACAGAAACTACACAATCTCGACTACCTGAGACCCTTCATCAGCTGCATTTTCTTCGTTAGTGGCTAAGGCAGATTCCTCGGTAACCTGGTTCTCCTCTTCATTCTTCATGTTTTCGATGCAGCGATGTATCGACAGAAACTTTTTGTTACTTGATTCTGCACCAAGTCCATAATATTGCATTAGTAAATCTTTAGTTAAATCAGACATGGCACTTTTTAACGAAAGAGAAATCGTTCCTGAATGTCGAGGGTTATAGTTTAACAATGGTCGACTAAATCGATTGCAATTCCTGTTTATTCATTGCCTAGGTTACGAGAAAGGTGCATTGTATATACATACTATTTATTCTTATTAGAGAAGTGATTTTTTCAATTAAGTTAACGGTAATTATTATTGGGTATTCATAACAATGAATGATTTATAATATTACTGTGATTAAATGATTTATTGAATCACAGTGATTGATGATAATTACTTTAGGAATATAGTATGTTTTAAATTTATGACGATGGATATTCTCTAGTTAATGTAATAAAGTAATTTCACATACAAAAAGACAAATAATAAATAATTATTGCTGATAAATGTATAATAGAATTCAGCAATTTATAATTATGTTATTATTATATATAAGCACCTAAAAATGAAAATTACATAATATAATTAAATAAAGTTTAATTAAAAGATAAAATTTACTCGTTTGACTCGCTAAGTTAATGAAGAGCAAAGTGCGTCATTCAAAGTTTATGTAAACATAAGCCTACTCACTGAACAAGTTATATGCGCGCGCATCATGCTCGTAAAGTGTGTTTTCAGAACTCAAGTAACCTATCTTTCAGTGCATAAATATATACTTCTAAACTATTTATTGTTTTAAATTATTTTATACTGGGAATTTAATATTATTCGCTTAATAAAAGGTTTTAATACTGTAATTTTTTTATGATATTACGAACATACAATTTATTACAAATTGAACGAAAAAGAGTTTACTATTAAATAGTAATTATAATATAAAGTTTATTATAAGTTTTTTAATACTATTACTGTTAGAGTTGTTTGTTCAGTTGTAATATAAAATTCACCCTTGATAACAAGCTGTATTACTGTATTACCATAACTTTACCAACTGCAATTCTTACAGTTACACTGTCAGTGTATAGAGGGTGTTCAAAACCTAACCCACGTATTTTGCACTGGTTACTTCGTGTTATGAGTGCCTTGTTGGCCTAAGTTGGACCAAGCTGTCGAGTTTCTCCGTTTAATTATTCATATTTAAACACCTTGGATATTATTTCCGTCGGAAATGTCGGATTCGGATTCGTCGGATCGAGGCGGTGGCGGCAGTGAAAGCGATCAAGAGGAGAATCGCTCGGTGAAATCCACAGCTGGCAGCGATGGTGGTAGCGTTGGCGAAAGATCGCGTAGCGTTTCTCGCAGTAGAAGTCCGTCTAGATCCCGATCCAGAAGTCCATCGAGGTGGCGATCACGGTCTCGATCAGCGTCTGGGTAATTAATATTTATTATGTACATATTTTATAATTTGGTAGATTTCAATTATTGTCACGCGATGATGTGAGTTCCTATTGAAATTTACTGAGATACTTGTATCGAAGTTTACACGATAGCAATGATTGATTTTAGGCATTGTGTTCATTTGTTATTCTTGTTTGTATTAATGACGGAGTATGACGTAGATATCTTATATAAACATGAATCATATTATTTGGGAATATCGAATGTTAAAACGGTATTACGTATTTTTGGACTACTTCTTTACATATTACTCTTCTATTATTATATTGAATATTTATATTACAAAAATATGTTGTGCATATTGATATATTGAATAAATAATTTGAAACATATTCATTAAAATATGTTGCTTATTAAGAGTTAGATTGCTCAAATAGTACAAAAGTTTATTGAATTTTCAGTTCGGAGGATGGCAGGGATGATGAAGCAGAAGAAGCAAGACCTGACGATGAAGAGTTGGTGGAACCTGAGGAAGAACCAGATGGTCAGTAACAAAAGATTATTATAGAGAAATTCTTTTGCTATATTTAACAGTTATTTTAATGTAGGGGAAGATTTGGATGGAAGCAGTGAATATGATGAGGAAGAAGAAGAAGAGGACGATGATAGACCTCGGAAGAAAAAGAAAAAAGATAAATACCGTGATTTCATCATAGACGAGGCTGAGGTAGATGATGAAGTTGAAGATGATGATGAATGGGAAGAAGGTGCCCAAGAAATTGGTATTGTTGGAAATGAAGTAGACGAATTGGGCCCTACTGCTAGAGAAATTGAAGGCAGACGTAGAGGAACTAATCTTTGGGAGTAAATATTCTAAATATTTTTAAATACTTTTAAATTGTTAGTTTTAAATCAATTTTTAAAACATTTCTTAGTTCCCAGAAGGTAGATGAAATAGAAGAGTATCTGAGAAAGAAATATGCTGATGAATCTATTGCCACTCGCCATTTCGGAGATGGCGGTGAAGAAATGAGTGATGAAATTACTCAGCAAACTTTACTGCCAGGTGTGAAAGATCCAAATTTGTGGATGGTAAAATGTCGTATCGGAGAAGAGAAGGCGACGGTACTCTTGTTAATGCGAAAATTCATAACATACCAATTTTCAAGTATGCAAAAAGAATCATAATTATTTCAAGCTCTTATTTTAAAATAATTTTCTTCGGTAATTTATTCTAATTTTAAAATTTTGTTTAGCTGGGCCTCTTCAAATAAAATCTGTTGTTGCACCTGAAGGAGTAAAGGGTTATATTTACATAGAAGCATATAAACAACCACATGTAAAAGCGGCTATAGAGAATGTAGGAAATTTAAGAATGGGTATTTGGAAACAACAAATGGTACCAATTAAAGAGATGACTGATATATTACGTGTTGTCAAAGAACAATCTGGTTTGAAGGCGAAACAATGGGTTAGACTAAAAAGAGGCATTTATAAGGATGACATAGCTCAAGTTGATTATGTTGATTTGGCACAGAATCAAGTTCATTTAAAACTGTTGCCTAGAATTGATTACACTAGACCACGAGGAGCTTTGAGGACGGCTCAAAGCGAATCTGAAGCTTTAAAACGTAAAAAGAAAAGACGACCACCAGCCAAGCCGTTTGATCCCGAAGCAATTCGAGCTATCGGAGGCGAAGTTACAAGCGATGGTGACTTTCTGATATTTGAGGGAAATAGATATAGCCGGAAAGGGTATATTTCAATATGAGTGCCATAATTTATTACCGTAACTGATTCATTTTTAATAGCAGATGAACTTAAATGTTACTGTTTTAGATTCTTATATAAGAATTTTACAACAAGCGCGATTATCGCAGAAGGTGTAAAACCAACCCTATCTGAACTGGAAAAATTCGAAGAAGCTCCTGAGGGCGTTGAATTAGATTTAAGTGGAGCTGGGGCACCAGGAACTGGTATTTCTAGCAATAAGGAAGATGCAGCAGTGACCCATTCTTTCAGCACAGGGGACAATGTTGAAGTATGCGAGGGTGAATTGATCAATTTGCAAGGAAAAATCGTCTCGATAGATGGAAACATGATTATGGTTATGCCGAAGCATGAAGAGCTCAAAGAAGCTCTAGAATTCCAAGCGTCAGAGTTACGAAAATATTTTACTATGGGTGATCACGTAAAGGTAAAGATCAAAATAATAATAAAAATAAAAAAGTAATTTCCATCGCAAAATATATATCTCAAAATTATACTTTGATTATTTATAGGTTGTAGCAGGAAGATATGAGGGTGACACTGGTTTGATAGTACGAGTGGAACAAAACAGAGTAGTTTTATTTTCTGATCTTTCAATGCATGAATTGGAAGTTCTTCCAAGGGATTTGCAACTCTGCTCGGATATGGCAACCGGCGTGGATAGTTTAGGTCAATTCCAATGGGGTGATTTAGTGCAACTAGATGCACAAACAGTAGGCATAATCGTACGATTAGAGCGTGAAAATTTCCACGTGCTTTCTATGCATGGGAAGGTCATAGAGGCTAGACCGCAAGGACTCACGAAGAGACGAGAAAACAGAAATGCAGTGGCGTTAGACTCTCAACAGAACACTATACAGAAGAAGGATATTGTCAAGGTGGTGGATGGTCCACATGCTGGACGTGGTGGTGAAATAAAACATTTATATAGAAGTTTTGCATTTTTACATTCACGAATATTCATTGACAACGGTGGAATCTTCGTTTGCAAAACGAGACATTTACAACTTTCTGGTGGAAGTAAGACCACTGTATCGAATATGTCACCGGTGACAGGATTTATGTCGCCAAGAATTGCATCGCCAATGCATCCTAGTGGGTTAGTGATATTCATTAATTTCTATTCAAAAGAATCGTTAAAAGTTACTATCCTGACTATAGATGAAATAAATCATTTCTTTTGTTTTGATTTTTTTTATGATCTGTATGTGTTTTATTTTTTACAGAGGTGGTTTTGGAAGAGGTGGCGGTGGAAGAGGCAGAGGTCGCGGAGGTGGGGCCAGACGTGACAGAGAATTGGTAGGAACCACCATTAAAATAACCGGTGGGCCATACAAAGGAAATGTTGGAATTGTGAAAGAGTCTAGAGAGACGACTGCTCGTGTGGAGTTACATTCATGTTGTCAGACTATTTCCGTGGACAGGTCCCATATTGCAAATGTTGCAGTACTCACCAAGGATGGCGGTTTCAGCAGTTATAACAGGACACCAGCGTATGGTGGAGGCCAGACACCTATGTATGCCAGAGATGGATCCAAGACACCCATGCATGGCTCTCAAACGCCTATGTACGAAAGTAAGTTCACGATATGTGCAAATGTTTAAGTGTGTAATCAAATAGAATGAGCTATTTCTTAATGTTGTAAATTTACAGATGGTTCTCGTACACCTCATTATGGTTCAATGACACCATCTCACGATGGTTCGCGCACACCAGGACAGTCTGGTGCGTGGGATCCAGCTGTTACCAATACTCCTGCAAGAACAAACGATTTCGACGGATACAGTATGGAAGAAGGTGGATCTCCAGGTTATGCGCCAGGATACCCTCCTACTGGTGGACCATTCACGCCACAAACACCTGGTACAATGTACGGTTCAGAGCAGAGCTTCAGTTCATATCAACCGAGTCCCAGTCCGGCGGGAAGCGCTACTGCAAGTCCTAGCCCTGCTGGATATGTTGCCACTCCTTCGCCAAGTGGTACTGGGTATACTACGAGTCCTCATGGAGCGTTTGCTACGCCTTCACCGATGGGTTATAGTCCTATGACTCCTGGTAAATGGCCTTTTCATTTAGGCGGTGTTCTGTTTAAAATATTTATTATTGTTATAATTGTTAATATTTATTATTTGTATCTTTCTTTTTTTGTAGGAGTTGCGGGTAGTCCGTATAATCCACAGACTCCAGGCGCTGGTTTAGATACAAGCATTGGCTCTGGAATAATTATAGGAACCGAATGGCATACCACGGATATTGAAGTTAGAATTCGCGACTCTCACCAGGATCCTGCATTGGCAACACAACAGGGTGTTATTCGGGGAATATCCGTAAGTGTTAACAGTTAGTAATATAAATAATTATATTCAGTTGAATCTAACACAAATTTCATATTTATATACAGGGTGGCATGTGTGCTGTCTTCTTGCCTGTAGAAGATAGAGTAGTGAACTTGGTTTGCGAAGAGCTAGAACCAGTAGTTCCCTCACGAGGTGACCGAGTCAAAGTAATTGTAGGAGAAGACAGAGAAGCAGTGGGAAACTTACTTTCCATAGATAATCAAGAGGGTGTGGTGAAATTGAATACGGACGAAGTGAAGATGTTGCACTTGCGATTTTTGTGTAAGATGAAGGCACCGAACCCGTAATTCTCCATTCCAAGACAATTTTCCAAACTCGAGAAGAAATTCATAAAGACAGTTTTGACGACAAGAGCGCATTAACGTTTAATAAAAATTATTGAGAATTATACTGATAACGTTAATACTAGCCATTTTACTTTGTATTCCTTGTTATGTTCAAAAGTAGCATTTGAATTATGTAAAATAAATACATATTATTATTCTAAAGATTAGCGAACTTTTCCCTAAATAGAATTTGATTTTTTCTGTGAGATGTTTAATTTTATCATGTCCTGATCAAAAACAAAATCTGAGTAATTATATCTACCAGAAGTTTATACACTTAAAATTATGCAATAATCATTTATAACAGCTCATTAATCTGAAATCAGTCGCATAACAAACGAGAGAAAATCGTGACGAGATGATTAGGGAACACTCAAGGGATCGGTATAAATTTTCCGAAATTTTTATGAGGAAAATCGTACTGATCCGGATTTACCGATTGGAGTATGAGATCATGCTTCCTATGGTTATTTCCGGTATTTGTGGCAACTACTCTCGTTAAGATAGAAAGGTAGATAATCATAAACATCAACATTATATTTGTTTTACTTAAAGTTTAATAACATAATTGGAAGAAAAGTATTATTAATTCATAATTTGAAACAGTGTTTAACATTTTTCGAAATCGTGTATTCTATTTTGGTTGTTATTGTTGATGTTAGGGTAATGGGTGTTAGTACTTTCAAACATGAACAAAATATTGGTACTGTGTTATTTGAAAAAAGTGAAGCTGCTAAACATTGCTGGACTACAGAGGAATTTATTATTTTGAATAGTCGACGGATGTTTCAAGATCTGTTACCAAAGGTAAATTTGTCTTAACCTTACTTTGCTAATTAAGAATCACAGACATCTTATTTTTCTATTCTATACAATTCACATCATTATAAAATCTTCGAATATCACTCTTTTTTATATACTTGGTATTTTTTTCTTTTATAGTATATTAACTTATAAGCGAATATTTAACAACCTTTCTCTGTCTAAATTGTTCGTAATTTTTATTAAATAAATTAACAATAAAAAACATATATATTCTATTATAATTCTTCTTGCGAGTACTTAACGAATCTGCAAAATAAACTTTTCCATATATAAAATCCTAAATTTATTTTCACAAAATCATAGTAATATCTGGCAAGTATAATAAAATCATGATAACTTATCGAAATTAACCTTTTGCGAATACAAACTATATACATATATATTCGTGGAATATGCAGTAAACTATTAGAAATAACAAACTAAGAAAAATTTTTTACGTAAAATATAATCAGTAATAATTACTTTTCGTCGTATATACGCATTATATGCATATACGTATATTACGCATCTACGCATTATACGCATATACATATATTACGCATCTACGCATTATGCGCATATATGTATATTGCGCATGTACGCATATCCACATATACGCATTATACGCATATACGTATATTACGGCATTCGTTCGTAAAGGGTTAATTATATTACTTTCTAATACCAAAAATAATCTCACATACCATTCATCCACCAACTACACCATTCCATCTACTTTAAAAAAAAAGCTGGAAACCGTTCCATCATCGATTCCATGCCAAAAAGACCCATATGCCCATTCCCTTCCCTGCTGACTCTGATTCCCCAGGTGAAAGTTCTAAATTATGAGAACGATCGGTACATCGCTCTGCTGATGGATTACTTTCACATTTGTCTGGAGAGCGTACGTAAGCTGTCGATAGGAAAAACGAAGCACCTGATGCTGAAAACCCTGGCGGACACGATGGGCGGCTACTTGCAGGTTTACATCCTGCCCCTCACCAGACACTCCTATTACGCGGGTAACATAAAGTATCGGAACGCGAGAAAGCTGTTCGAGCTATACGATCAGTTGAAGCTTTTCTTGAAAAGCAACGGGGCAGGCTGGCTGAGCCCATCCAAAGAGATAAGACACGCGAAAATCCTGCCGATCCTGATCACGTCGCCGAGATCGCCGGTCGCATGCGACGGCATTATTACCTACCCTGCGTGTAAGAGCATGGCTGCTACCTCTCGTAAACTATTCATGAGTATTTTAGGCTGTTCGATGCTATTTGCTTCAATCGAAGCTTTGGAGAAAATGACTTTGTTTATAGGTAATAGAGGAAGGGGGATTGCGAGGATACTGGTAGTTTTGTTTGATAACAAGTTGGAGTGATGTTTTGTACACGCAAGGGTTAGAATATTTGTGGATATGTGGCGTGCGCAGGACAGTGACGGATAGCGAAGAATCTTGGATTCTGTCAAAATAAAATTTTTTACTAATTTTTTATTATTTTGTAGGGTATACGTTTGATACTTAATAAGGAAATTAATTATATATTCCTAAATGTATATTTAGATGTATGATAGGTTTTTAACGCAGGTAATTTATTTTTGGCTATTACGTAGTTAATCTTGACTTTATCGATGTTATTGAACATCCAATATTAATATTTATATTAATGTTTGTTCTCAATATTTAATATTAATATTTATATTAATATCTGTTTTCAATATTTAATATTAAATTTTCCAATTATAATTTAATGAAATAATATTAGTAATAATTATTATTAATTTATCAGCTTCAGTGGGCTACAACAAACGAGAGATAAAACGTTTCACGTTCAAGCAGAAAAGGGGACATGCAACGAAGCACAAAACCAAAAATACAAATCCTAGTAAGTCCATTAATAATAAATATAGAATTTAAAATCTCAATATGTATGATACATTATACTTAATATATAATATATTATCATTCAAAGGGTACAAAGATGAAACTGAACGAAACGAAGATTCGATTATCATCCCTCTTCCCTTCCTGGACGACGACGTGCAGCCAAATAGGTATCGATTTCTCGAACCATCATTCTTAAGCGAGCAACACGAACAACGTTAAAACAGAATTTTTCTACAGTATCGCGCTACCATTTAAGAAGAACACCTTGCAGTCTTTATATAGTGAACGATCGACTTTTGTATTGGTTAAGTACTACATAGCTAGCGTGAAGTGCATCGTCTCGAAGTCGAAAGCAAAAACTGAACTGGAGACCTTCAATCAGGAGTTTTACGATTGGCTGCAGCAATCCGTACGTTGTGAGTCGCTGTGATCGAAAGTGGCAATTTTTCTTACATATCCATTTGAGGGAGTAGTTCAATTACATCCAAGAAACGTTTTGCTGAGAAAAAGTTTAATAGTGATCTTCAAAGGCGTCATAAATGGATAAAGAAGATTTTACCATCAACTTTGTATAACTCTACTCGAACACTGTTATATTTTACTAGACCTTTTCGATGCGCTATTTTATGCATAGTATTTAATATTATCTGAGACACGTGCAGTACTATATTTTATACTATTCAATACTCTTTATATATGCAAATTCCTATTATTTGGTATCTTCCAATTCCTTTGTAATTTTAAGCCAATTAACATTATTCACAATTAATGTAATACCATATTATTTATTCTATGTTGTTCAAAATTTATCATCATTCAGATGCTATCATCTCAATCTACTTAAATTCTATGCAACTTTATAGTGTTTTAGTTTCTTTAAGCGATTCATAACCATCAGAATTTTTCGTCATCACCATTCCAGGTACAACGGCACCTCGATGACGAGAAATGGTATGCAGCCTTCGGCGGCGTGCTAAGGGTGATCGCCTCTTTGGAGGAAGCTGGTACCTAACGCGACATTTTTCCTTATTTGCGATTTTCCAACGCACGATGTTCCTGTAATTCATCGTTTTTCCATTGCCAGGTGCAGGAACCGGTCCCACTAAGGGAAGAAAAAGCGGTACCTATCAGATGATGCCCAAAACAGGCGCGCGACCGACTGTCGAGCTCGAGGAAGGCGTGTCACCTCTGTACAAAGGTGAGGAGAGAAAGCGGTACTCCACTTCAATTGCAATCGAATTTTCTATGGTTTCTGCTTTCTAACGTTGCCACGTCTTTTCAGAAGAGGAAACGGGGGTCACGCTGGGAATGTCGGAATTAATATCGATCGCCGTGGTGAGCGCGTTGTTGGTGTGGTTGCTGGTGGGTCTGAGTTTGGTCTGCTACCGATTCCTCACGAAGCACTCGGACGAGTGTGGCCCATGTGAACCGCAGGATCCTCCGTATGTTTTGATGAACCTTTCCTGCGGGGAAAAACTGTCAACCGTCACAATTAATGATCACAGAGGAAAAATGACGAATTTATAATTTTTAAATGTGATTCTTATTTGGTTTTGGGATTAGATATTTATTTTTTCCCACTACTATGGGTATTTCATAGGTATCAATTTTGTAGTTCTCATAAAAGATGATTTTGGTACAGTCTGAAATATATAAATATTGTGATGATATTTCTTTAGTAGTGGCTTTGCCAGTATGAAATAATTTTTTGAGAATTACAATAATTTTTTTTTTGTCTAATTTAGGGTTGCTGTTTTGTACAGGAATAAAGAATATTGCGAAGCTGATACGTGTCAAATGCAAAAGAGTCGTAAAGGGTGGATAGAGAGAATTAAAGATTATTGGAGGAGTAAGTTTGGTAAATGTCAAGGAAGTTGTCAGGATCGCATAGACGAGGAACGTTGTTTAGCAGCTATTAATTATACTAGCAAAGATACTATTGATGTTAGTAATAGTAGCAGAAGTTACCAGTGAGTACTTATTAATTGTTTGTTAAAAGAATAAATGAATTTTGTTCGTTTGAAAAATGATTTAAAATTTAAATAATTATTTTGTAATTTTTTTCTAGGAAAAGAAAAATGAGCAAATCGGTATCAGCGACGTTATCAAATTATCGGAAAGAACATATGCCTATCAGAGTAAGTAATTTTAGTCGTTTAAAATGTTATTAATAATATACATGAGAGATAATGTTCACTTCATTTGATCTTTTACAGAAAGTTTCCTATAGCTCAGATGGCTCGTTAACCACAAACACCGAAAGTCCTTCCAAACCAACATAATAAGAAACTACAAGTTCTCAATTATCTTTTAATATGGATACTCTTTTTAGTATGTATGACGTAGTAAATATAATTAACTACAAAGCTATTTTTAAAAAAGGTAACATTAATTTCTTCGACTAAGGATTAGTACTTTCTTTATACATCCTGTAATTAGCATAAATTTATACAAAACTTTCTGTCTTTCTTATTATTTTAAAACAAAAGTTGTTATAACTTTCTACTCCACCATTATCTACAGCATCAAAAGTTATACTCCAAACTATATAAAATTTCCAAAGGGCAATTTTTCCACAATATACCTATAAAAAACTTCATGTATAAAAAAATTATTGGACACATGTCAAAAGAGTTTTCTCGTTCCGAATTCCACCGTCAAAAGTGGACCCAGCATCACCCTGTTATTGCAGGGGTCGCGAAACGGCCGTTTTAATTTTATTACAACCGCGTTCGACAGAGGTGACTCGCAGTCGATTGCACTTCGTTATGCCGGCCGCGTACGTGCGGACTGCATTCAATGAATGCACGTTCCCGAAGCGTGCAGCCCAAGAGCCACGCGCTGCAACTTGTTGCAACCGGGCCGCGGAACCGAATGCCGGCGTCTCCTGGTTTATCAAACGCGTCGCAACAGCAGCGCCATCTGGACTCGTGAGAATGTCCACCACAGTGAGTAGGGCGGCCAGTGTCGCGCGATACGTCGAAGGGTAAAGGTGTTCGCGTTATTCTCTCGCTGTACTTCCGATCTTGTACTGTCATAAGTGAGCAAAAACAATATATTTATCATATCCAATGTGACACAATTGAACTTTACTATGTACTCTATTCCTCACGTTTGATAATATTCGCTGTCGAACAATTCCAAAAAAAAACAAAGCCATATTTGAGATTCTCTATCATATACAAAGTCACGTGTGCCGAGGTTTCATTCGCCTGTTCCCTTGTTTTTATTCAGTTTTTCGAGAATGATCGTGCTTTAAGACTTATAGTGATGAATAAATCGAGTGTAAAATAAAGGGGACAAACTGCGGAGGTTAGTAAGATTTCGGCGCGAAATCGCGTTCCCATCATCTAAATTCACGCGGAACCGCGAATTGGAACGTTTCGCGCGTTCAAGCGATTTATTGGTTCTTTCCAAATAGATCGATCGAATTCGTCGGAAGGTGTCGTCCTAGTCAGTCTAACGGAAAATTTGGCGTTCGTTGTGCGGAATTTTCTAGTCGCGTCGGGTGAATATTATAAATCTACGTTTTGTAAAGTTCTACGATTTGTAACTTTCTACGTTTTGTAACGCTCTACGTTTTGTAAAGTTCTACTCAACGTTTTACGTTTTACATAAAGTTCCAGACTATAGAATTACATACGTGTACGTGTAAGCAACGCGAATCGAGATTAACGTTGATCGGTTTCACGGAACACAACGGTTTTTTTTTCGACAGTTTACGTGGATTTGAACTCGTGGGAAGGGAAAAGTACAGGAATGCGCCATAGTTGAGTCTATTCTTTGATTATTGTGCAATAAAATACTGTCAGGACTAATTTCGATCAGTGAACGATGCGTACTGTGGAAAGATTCTCAACTGGCGTTTCGCGCGTCCGTAATTAACTGTGGCGTCGTAGTGTGTTCTCCTCTTTAAGGACACGATGGGACGCCAAAGTTGTGGTAAACTGTGCCTACTGTTCGTCGTGCTACTTCTTGCAGCCGTATTAAAAGGTAAGCGAAATGTTTTTTCATTTTTCCAAGAAACTTGCTTTGTGGTTAATCAATATGACATCAGAATTTTCGGGAATGGAATGATCGGAACAGTGACACAAACATATTTGAAATAATAGATTAAACAATCTTTACGACATTTTATCGTATATATTTATTGCGTATTTCATATTTTATTTACGATAACGACAGTAAGCAATATAAAATAGCTCTCTTTTAAATAAATCCAGTCGAATACTGCTCCATTCATAGGAAATATGATGTCATATGAAATTTCCGTTACATTATTAATTAATCGAACTGAAAATATACGCTTCGTCTATTTCCATGCGCCATATTGATAGTCAAATCAGCAACCATGATTTCTATAAACTTCCATATAATATTTCCGCATGCGTCTAGAGTTCAATGTATTTATAAATCAATTTCGTTCGTTAATAGAATAGAATTTAATACGAAATAAAGATTAATTTTTCAAAGAGTCGTAATACGTTCGAACACTACGATTATATATAAAAGAATCGAATAATTTATTGACACGGAATATGAGTAGCTTCAGAATAGGAGTGATATATTTCCTTCATGTAAATACTAAACGTTTCAAAGGCATATGGTACACGGTCACGGTGATTGTGCCCTTTTCACAAAGTGACCATGGAACGTGATGTTTACATTGGAACGGCGATACATGAAAAGCGACGAGAAACGCAATAAGGAACGGAATCCAAAACACATATTTATCCAGGCAGCGTTTGTATTGAGGGCATCACAATACAGTTCGAATTCCATTGTTTTTTGGATTCGCTCCGAATACCAATATGTCGTCATTATTTTCGCTGCTAATGAATGAACCTATGGATTCTTTTTGTACTTCGTCCAATTTTTATTTCACGTTGTCGTGGAAATAGTCGAAGTCATTTTTACTCCGTAACAAAATTTTTGTCCCCATTTTTTTAAATTAAAAAATATTAAAAAACTGGGTACCCAATTACACGTGTTTTATATTACGTATTTCCACATATATTAATGCATATAAAACAAAATTGCAATTATTCATTTAATTACATACATCTACATAGTTTTTTAGCGAAATAAAATATTTATAAGCAAAATAATAAATTTCACAGCTGGCCTGGCGACCTCTTCCGGCAATTTTAAAAAGCTTACAGCCAAGATAAAAATTGTTACCAACCACGGGATGTAATATTTTCAATCTTTTTACATTTCTTTTCCCCATATCTGTCCAATTCGCCAAATTTCCATTGCAAATACTTTAACCAAACGTTTTTACACTTGCAAACAACGGAAACGCGGAATTTAATTTCTCCGTACTGGCGCAGCGGCGTGCAGCACTTTTAACTAAATCGAATTGCAAACCATGCATATCTGACGAATCCGGTGGGGCGGAGGTGGTGGGTGAAGGAAAAAAAGAGCAGAATATTTACGTCTCCTCGAAAATAAATACCAATACGTGCCCCGAAACGCGAGTTCTCGCATTTCCCAGCCGCATGACCGTTTTTCACCGTACGAAAAAGGTCCGGGTGCGTGCGGGGGTGCGCGGCGGTGCGGGACGGGACGCGGGGTGGGGGTCGGGCCGCGAGG